CCCATATTAACGGTCGCGGAACCACACGTGTGGAACATACGCGGCGGCGTTTTACGCACGGTATACATAGGTAACCATGGATTATTATACCACTGCTTGTACGGTAACGATAACAAAAAAATATATTATATATATATATACGTACGGTGACAAAAGCAATTAATTATGATAATAGGTACAATGATACGACTATGAAAAATAATTTTAAAAAATGTACTCACTTCGTAAAATATCTGACCTACATGAGATCACTAGCGATTCTTTGCGGAATCATCGGACGTTATGACGTGTATACACTTAAATCACAAATGTACACAATATAAAATAAGCGGCGCGTCTGTCGTAGTCGCGTAGTACTGTCGCGGTCGTCCGCACCGCACGCAAAAGACGTTTTATTTTGTACATTTTATTTTAGACGCCTATATTTTACACGTAATATCGTTGACACACGCACATCATCGAAACATGATATATTTTGGTGCACACCTGAAATTCTGAAATCTGATTACCTATCATATTTTATCTCACTTAGTTTTACACGCCTACTRTAACTATATACCTGCCTATCACACGATAAGTTGATAGTATTATATTATACAATTAGATGTTATTAAAAAACGACAAAAATAATGCACTCGACTTACCGGTTGACTTTTGATGCATTTATTACGTCCGTCATGCAATATTTCTTTCCGACGTGCCAAAAATCAAAAAACAATCGCAATCTCGTACGGCACGAAATGTTAAATATCGAACAATATCACGACGATAATAATAATATTATAATATATTGTCGTATCCGTTTATACGATTATATARTAATAATCCGACTCGAGTGAAATATAATCGTCACACACGCGGACGGAAACGGTCCGTACTTATGTCGCGTGTAAATATTACGTATTATGTTATTATATTTTATTATAATACGCGAGTTTACAATAAAATAATATATATTTAAGTGCACGCCGTAGTATACGGTATATATATCCGTATATTATAATAATAATATAGAGCCGGCCGCGCGGAGTTTTAAAGTTAAGCTAACAAATTGACCTCAGATTAGGTCGACTATCCGCGGTTTGAGCCCCCCGGCTTTGAGATATGGGAACCGATCGGCARCGGCGGCGGCAGTGGTGGCGGCGGCGGCCACCATCCCGGGTAATGGGCGGGCCGCGCCGCGTCTGGCCCACTCGGGCGGCGCTTGCGCTCTCTCGCCCCCGATCGCTGCCGCCGCCGACGCCGCCACGTATATACGCGCTCGACACACGTACGATATTTTCTTTTTTTCTCCCTACCCGCTCCTATCTACTCTTTCGGTCCCATCACACGTCCTAACCATCACCCACCCACCCGACACCCACACCCTCAATACACCGTCGCTTCCGCACCCGCACTGCACTGCGAGAGTGTACCTACATGCGCTCGGCGAACGGGTTCATTTGTTTTACGGTTTCGCGCTCGTACACCGTCTTGTCCGCAGACGATTTTTCATACGATATTGTTGGTATCCCCCCCCCACCCTGCCGTCCAAGCGCCGCCACCGCCGATGTTTTTTTCCGATGTCGTGTGCGAAGGCCGTCGTGCGCCGCTTTAATAATAATAATAATAATAATAATAATAGTAATAATAATATACGTCCACCGCCGCCGCTTCAAACTTTGCCGAAAAACGACGCGTTTTTACGTAATAATAATTATTTACGTCGCGTCAACGAGCAGAGGCTGCCGCCCGCACTGTCACTGTATWCCGGTATGATGTGCACAGCGCGTTTCGACCTTTGTCAAAAAATATCGTAAGCGCCACGTACCGACGAAAACATATATGATATCATCATTATTTGTATTACTATTTTTGCGATTGCGTTTTCTACGATGGGTATAATACAATGTACATAAAACGATATTATTATTATTATTATTATTATATTGAATATTATAATATATTAGATTATTTGTATACGAGTTCATATTATTACCTAATGATATATATTTCAGAGTTTTTAGTTCAATGAAGAGGCTAATTCAACTCTTTTAAAGTACAAAAGACTATACCTCGGCGCCTAAAATTAAAAATCGTATTTTACTTTTCCCAAAACGGAATATACCTGCMTATATATAGCTGAACACCTTCCCATGTATACATGACATATATAGTTAAAGGGTATCCTATATAGCACAAATCACTACTCAATTTTATTTATTATTATTACATGGGTAGGTTTAATACGTATATACATGCATTGTACACATAATAATATAAACACGTATAGTGTATAATGATCGCACGGAACCCTATACATAAGACCAACAATATAATAATATAATAATAATGTAACCACTCGGGTATATATATATCGATAAATTCGCGTGTGTGTTGCAGTATTAAATTATATATACTTGTCGTAACACGGCAGGGAATTTACAATCGTTTATACTAACAATAATATATAGCATATACGCTTCAAGTAAACGAGAGAGTAAAACTCTATATCATTTATAGTATACTTAGGTACTAAATTATATATCTCTACATTACTAACTACCCGTCTCCAAAATCACTACATATATAGGTAATAGGTATACTTAATTTTAACATTAAAATTTAATATTAAGCTAAAATTAATCTAATTTAAGATAATATAGACTCGATTTTAAAAC